AGAGTCTTGAAAGCAGGATGCGATGAACTACAGTGTCAAATGCTGAAGACAGGTCTAGAAGCAGCAGGACAACACATTTGTCATCATCAATGGCACGAAGGATGTCATTCTGTACTCTAATAAGGGCAGATTCAGTGCCGTGGCGTTCCTTATATGCAGATTGAAAAGGTTCAGTTAAGCTATTGTCATTTAAATAGGCAGTTAGTTGTGAAGACGCCACTTTCTTGCAACACTTCGAAACAAACGGAAGATTCGATATAGGTCTATAGTTGAGCAGATCTTCAAGAGAGGAAATTTTTTCTTCCATGAAGCAATGGCAACTTGATTTAGAGATAATTCAAAAACTGGAAATTTTGAGACATTTTGTTCATCTATGGAGGTTTCTCTGTGGAGCGCTGGATAAGGAGGCTCAAAAAGGCTTTTCTTGAGCGCACGCTCCATGGCTAAAACCTGCAACTTCTGCAACTGCCTATCTGACTCACTTATACGGGACCGCTTAGTACTTGGAATTAAGGACGGAGAAACGAGGAAAATCCTACTTCAAACAAGAAAACTCAACCTTAAAATGGCGCTTGACATCTGCCGATCATCAGAAGCTGCAGCGAACCAACTCAAGACAATGACTGACTACACCGCTACAAAAGTAAGCAAAGTACACAAGACTAAACCCAAATTCTCAAAACCAAAAGGAAAAGAATCTAAGTCAGCTCAGGATTAGTCCTCACATCCTACTATTACTTGTTTATTCTGCAACCTGAGACATCTGAAGAAGATAGAGAAGTGCCCAGCCTGGGGCAAGACCTGCAACCTCTGCAGAAGGAAAAACCACTTTGCATGTTGCTGCAAAAAGCTAAAACGCCTACACATGCTGCAAGATGAAGAGGATGAAACTGACCACAGTGATAGTGATACTGACTATACAGAATCTGTCTTGTGTGTAGAAACAGTGAACTGCACTAATCCAAAAGGAGCCATCTATGCTGAAATGCTAGTTAAAGACAAGCCGATGACTTTTCAAGTAGATTCAGGAGCCACCGTGAATGTCATACCAAAGAAACTTCTACCAGCAGACTCAGTGATAACTCCATGCAACATAACTCTGCAGATGTACAACAACTCTACCCTGAAGGCTCTGGGATGAAGCAAAGCAGTACTGAAAAAACCCAGTCACCAATAAAAAGTACGAGGTACACTTTGTAGTAATAGAACCTGACACCTTCACTCCACTACTAAGTAGAAATGCAGCAGAGCAAATGTCACTAATAACTGTTAACTATGACAACTTCATATCACTGCACACTGTCCAAACCCCTACAGCTGAAGACCTACTGACACAGTATGATGATGTGTTCTCTGGAGAGAGACCTGGTACTTTACCTGGAATTGTTCACCTTGAAGTAGAAGTGGATGCAAGACCTGTTCAGTGCTCACCTAGAAAGCTACTGGTTGCACTTAGAGAGAAAACCAAAGCTACCCTAGAAAAAATGGTTTTGCAAGACATACTACAAGTGGTAGATGAACCAACTGATTGGTGTAACAGAATGTCTACAACAGAGAAGAAGGCAACTGATGAGCTCAGAATCTGTATTGATCCTCGACCCCTGAGCAATGCACTCAAAAGAGAACTGTACGAATTACCAGTACTGGATGACATCCTACATGAGCTTAACATTGCTAAGTACTTCTCAAAACTCGACTTGAAGTCAGGCTATCATCACTGCTACTAGATGAAGAAAGCAGCTATTTAACTACAATGATCACCCCCTTTGGCCACTACAGGTGGAAAAGGCTTCCTTTCGGGCTGAAAGTCAGCTCAGAAATATTCCAGAAATGACTCCAGCAAGCATTCACTGACCTAGATGGAGCGGAATCCATAGCCGATGACATAATAGTTTATGGTAAAGATGAAGCAGCTGAAACTGAAGCTGACCACAACAAAAGGCTGAAAGATGTACTCCAAAGATGCAGAGAGAAAGGCATCCAACTCAACAAAGCCAAAGCTGTGATCAAAGCTGAAAGTATTACTTTCATGGGCCACATGATTACAAGAGATGAAACCAGATGAGACAAAAGTAGAAGCCATCACCAAACTGGCCAACACAACAAACAAGGAAGAAGTTCAGCGACTACAAGGTACAATACAATACCTTGCCAAATTCCTCCCAAAGTTATCAGTAGTGATGACACCCATCAGAAAACTACACACCATCTCAAGGCATTGGAAGTAGCCCAGTACAAAGACTCCAAGGATGCAGAACAAGAACCCTGCTACCAATGGCAAGCAGTCTCCTGAAACCAAAAGGTAAAGATATCCTAGACAGTGAAAGAGAGAAACTGAGAAAGATGCAGTCAAACAAATCCAGCCAGTACAACAAGACCACCAAAGACCTGAAACCACTAGAAGAAGGTGATATTATTCGCATGAAACCATAAAAGATGGGCGACAAAGAATGGAAGAAAGCAGTAGTGAACAAGAGACTTGACGAAAGATCCTATGAAATTGAAGCACCAGACGAAACATACAGAAGAAATCGGGTGCACCTCAAGAAAACCAACAAACCTCCACCCACAATTAGACAAGAACCAATGGTAACACGAGAACAACCAGTCAAGCCAAAATCAAAAGATCCACCAAGAGTTCCCAGCCCTTCATCCAAGCCAAAACAGGTACCCAAGTCAACAATTCCACAACAGGCAACAAAACCATCCAAGTCAGCAAAAACATCCAAAGCATCAAATGTCAATGGACAACCAAAGTCAATCAAGGACATTGTAACCACACGATCTGGAAGACAAGTTAAACAACCAAAGAGACTTTATGGCTATGTCAGAAAATAAACAGAGAAAGCTGAACATTGAAAACACTTAAACACTCATAGTTAGAACATTAAGACAAGTTGACATTTTCCATATTCAAGGACCAGATTGTTATATATTTACAGTTTATAGTTTTATTTTATTTTATTTTTTTCTTTATTGAAGAGGGGATGTAGCAATATTGCGATCCCTGTGTAAATGTTAGGATTAAAGTCCCGGATGTTTTCCGGTTTGTGACCATGTGCTCGACTGTTTTATCTCTTGCATTCTCCCCTTGAAACAGTTCCTGAGTTATGATTTTTTAAATGAACATTTTGATGGCATACCAGGGGTTCTGATGTTGTCATAGCAACRTCTTACATCATTTTTTCATGTTCATTGTGATCTTTGGTTTATAGTCTTTGGCTTTCCTGGTTTACTTGCTGTCATATTATAGCCATATTATTATTTTTTTAGTTCATAATTGTAAGTGTATGTGAAGGCACAAAACACTTTCCAACCTCCTTAAATCAACATTATCTTGAAGAAGTGAGAGTACACAAGGGATTTTAGCACCACAGGTTTGTACATCATGTTTTTGGTACTTTTGGAAATTTTTAGCATGATTATTCTGTGAGCTGGACAGCCAGGACCTACTTTGCCATTTTTGGAGTATTTGGCTCTTGGAGAACGCTGTGATCCAGGACCTAGTTTGAAGCATGCAGTGTTTTCTTACCTAATGTAAGTGAGTAGGCTACTAAGGATGACACCTCAGTTTTGAAAAATATTCTCAGATCAGCTGGCTGAGTAGCCTCTTTTGCAGATGTTCTTTGTGTCAGTCCCCTTCTCCTTCCCCACTAACAAGTTAATTAACACATTAGTTGGGAAGGAGAAGGGACTAACACAAAGGACGTCTGCAAGAGAGGCTAAAGAGCTGAGCTGTCACAGCAATATGACAAGGAACATTCTAAACTAACCACTGTTTAGTATAGTATACTGTATGTTGACTACTTAGGGTCCAAACTTATCAAAGGTACTGCAAGCAGCAGTCTGATCATCTGTACCCTAGTTTCCATAATACTGCAAGCAGACTACAGCTGTATATGCTGAGAGTGCGATGGTTTTATTCTGATGCATGGGCTCACAATGATAAAAACAATCAACAACCATGACTTTCTTCGGTTCAACTGCATTTTTATTGCAAGCATAAGATGCTAATATGATCCGAATTTTTGAATATTATTTTTTACTGTATTTTGACGATAAATCAACACTAATAGCCAGCTTGGGCTACCTGTGGTAGAGCCTCAATTTATAATCTCATTTTGTTGAGTGTATTATAAACGAAAAATTGCACGGAATTGATAGATACTCTTGATATATTTTGAAAGTTTTGAAACAAAACATCACTCGTACCTTTTAATTCCAAATTGTACTCGAGACCGTGCGATTTCCAATACTTTTGTACTACACCCCCATCGCATGATGAAGACTAGTAGAAGTTTGAACTCGAAACGTCCCGCTCAATCTTTCGAATGACACTCAATGATCGTGAGATAAATGAATAAGTATCATTATTGCTAAAAACTAAGTTAAACTAAAACGAGATACTTTTTGTCATTGGTATAATAAGTCCGAATGAGTCAAACAACGAAAATTGATGAACTTGCAAACTCTTTTTTTACCTTTACTTTTTTGCCGTCTAGTTCCAGATCGTGTATAGAAAAGTCCACTCCAATAGTATGACACAGGTAATTTTTTTCAAACTTGCCTTCGTGAAACCGTCGTATTAAGCTCGATTTACCAACACAGCTATCGCCGATCACTAGAACCTTGAAAACATAATCAGCTTCCGCCATTCTATAAAGGAATAAGGGAAGGTAAACACAGGCAGCCCATGTCGATTATGAATCAGGGCCCTGGGAACGAGGTTGATGGAGGAAAAATCGAAAAAAACATTGGAAAAATTCACAACGCCCCCAATTTTATGTAAAATAATTTTTTTGACCTCCCCTCCTTGTGACCTTTCAGACATACCTTAATTATTCGTTTCAACCCCCCCTTTAAGTCAGCAAATACTATTAAAGCCCCCCCTTCTTTGTGTGATTTTTTCAAAGCCCCCCTGCTTTTCCTCCAGACAAAAAGACAAAGAGATACATTGATTTGTCATATTTTGTAGTTTCGGTGCTCTTAAAAACTCTCATAAAGTCGAACAAAAATCCCTACAAAAATCTATTTTTTCATGTGTTAGAATATTCAACTTTTTCTAAAATGTTGATATAACCTAGATTTTTAGGAGTTACGTTCATTTAAATAAGCTATTAAGAAATAGAGAGTCCCGTGCAAAATTTGAGGGTTTTGCCCTGTTGAAGCTCAAAACGCGTATGGTTCTTCCCCCGGG